CTAACTGGTACTCATTTCGTTATTGTGACAGACCATAGGCCTCTCAAATATTTATTGACGATTAAAGACGCGAGCTCAAGACTAGCCAAGTGGGCCATGTTTCTTATGGAATACAGTTTTACGATTCAGTATAGAAAAGGGAATCTAAATAGCAATGTAGATGCATTAACTCGATTACGTGAAGAAACTGATGAAAAAGAAGAAAGGGAACCACCCGTGATAGCTGTCGTTACTAGAGGACAAGAGCTGCGACCTATATCATCTGCAATTTGGACAAAAGAAGAAATACAGAAATTGCAACAGGAAGATGAGTCGATAGACCGAATAAAGGAAAATTTGGATAATGAGAATTCCCCGTATTTTATTGACGACGGTATTATCTATAAACAAAGAGAAGAGTGGCAGCGAACTGACAGAATACTAGCTCCTAAGAAGATAATTCCAGAAATTTTGCGGATTTATCACAACGCAATTTATTCAGGACACCCTGGTCAGAAGAAGACAAAAGAAATAATAGAAAAGGATTTCTATTGGACATCTATAGGTAAAGACGTTAAGGACTTCGTGGAGAAATGTAAATCATGTAGTTTACACAAGACCAATTACCAACCACCAGTGACTTGGCAACACAACTTTGTACCAAAAAGTCCGTGGGGACGTATAAGTATGGATATAGTAGGACCATTAAATAAAACCAATAATGGAAATCGATACATGTTGACCTGTATAGATTATTTGACGAGATATCCAGAGTGCATTCCAATACCAGACATCAAGGCGGAAACGGTTGCAAAAGCTTTCGTCGATAAGATTATATGTCGTTTCGGAGTTCCAAGAGAAATACTAACCGATTGTGGAACACAGTTTCTCAGTAAACTCTTTACTGAAATTTGCACTATTCTTGGAATTAAAAAGTTAAAGACTACACCATACCACCCAAGTGCCAATGGAATAATAGAACGTTTTCACAAAACCATAAAAACGATGATAAGTCATTACGTCGATGATCACCATGATAGTTGGGATGAAGTGCTACCCTTTTGTCTTCTAGCGTATAGGAATTTGCCGCATGAGGCGACGCAAGAATCTCCATTCTTTTTAATGTTCGGGAGAGATATGGAGCTTCCAGTACATCTAATGATGCCACATGGGCCGGTAAAATACGACATAGACGAAAACTATGCTACAGAGTTAGTTACCAGAATGCAGAACGCCCACGAGTTAGCTCAGAGGAACATAGAGGTTTCTATTGAAAAAAGATGCGATAAACACAATGCAAAACGGACTAGGAGAGAATTCCAAGTCGGGGATTTAGTTTATGTAAAGAATCCAGTTTTACCAGGGAGGAATTTAGCACCAAAATTCCGTTGTAAATGGTCAGGACCGAGTCGAATTACTCAACAGCTAGGACCGGTTACCTTTAAAATAAAGGAGTTGCATGGAAAGAAAGAGCAGATTTTGCATGCTGAAAGGCTCAAACCATGTAAAGGGTTGGAGGATAGAATGATAAATCCTACACCAGATCACGGAGATAGTGAATCCGATGAAGAGGAGGACAATGAGGTTCTACCTAGAGGAGAAGATATTATAGAATTTCCACTAATCCATAGGGAAATGACAAGAGACGAGATTGAGGAAATCATCGATCAAAATGAAAATGATGACGTAAATGATGAAATAAGGGAGCAAGAAGAAGACGAATTTTTAGCACGGGGACAAGAATTACCCGTCAGGCATAGAGAAATGGAAGAAAATATAATTCAAGAAAATGAGGAAAATTCCGAAGAAGAAGAGGAAGAAGAAGAGGTCGAGGAACACGAACCGGAAGTACGAAGAAGTACGAGGACACGGGACATAAAATGGCCCGCTAGATTTAAGGATTATGTAATGAAAAAGCTGTAAAATGTAGAAAAATCCGAGTATGTCTAATCTATGTATAACTAACTAGGAATTGAGAAAAATTTAGATTACATAAGGAAGGATGTTAGCTATAAAATTTAAGAATAAGAAAATTAGAATCGAATGTAAGAATGCATTGATTTAAAGGCGTAATTTAGGTGATTAGGGAAATAATTGTATAAGATTTGTTAGACACTAGAAACATGCCATCAGAAAATAACAGGTACCAAGAGAACGACGAATTCGTTCCGCCACTACGTATCCATGTTGAAATGGAAAATTTGGACAGTGTTGTCCTAGTAAAACTCCGATGAGCCAGTAGGAGCAAACACGAAGACCATGGTAGCAGTAGTCAACCAGAGCCAGTAACCACGAGGGAAGTGTTGTGAAAAAGTGAAAAGTCAAAAAGGGTGTAAGTGTAACGTGCAACTAGCAAACCAGCGAGACCACCCTTGAGCAGTATCAGCATCCAGGTCGTAGCTATCCTAGCTATGATACCTACTACTGTGAGATTGACAGCGAGACTACAGGCCACGAACCAATGAGTCGTAGTGGAAGGCCGCAATATAGGTCCAATCGATATAGGCCTAATGAGTAACCAGCGCTTCAAGTAAACTTTGCTACAAGCAAGGATAATTAGCTTGTAAGATTGAAATTTGTTTTGTGTCGTTCTAGCATCAACAATTTTGAAGGAAAATATTAAATGAAAATTGTATTAATGAAGAAAATTAAGGAAAATTTTTGATGCGAGGAGAAAAAAAAAAAAAAAAAAAAAAAAACTTATCCAGTGTTGAGTAAAGATTTATAATTAATCTTTAATAATTATTTTGTTCATGACGTTGCGAAATTACACAGGAAAAGTTAATTTCGTATTACTTTTGTTGTTTAGTAAAATTTTGAAAAATAGCAGATATTTATGAGAAATGTGACATTTAGGATGGAAAAGCACGTACATAATTAGGTTGAACGATCTGATAAATACGCGGATAATATAATCGTGAAATTTTTGAATTTGAGAAAAGTAACCCATAACTCACAGAGGGTTCACCGACCGAATCTCATTTTACAAGGCAGGCACCTAATTTATGGTGAAATTTTATATTTTAATGGGACAATTGAATAAGAATTGTCCGAAATTATCTTATTCAATATAATTTCGGTTTTAAAGGGCGGAGGGATGTGATGATCCAGAAATTTGACCCTATAATTACAAAGTCTTTACTGTAAAAATTAAATAAATAATCAAACAATCAAAAACTTAATTCCGGTATTTTTAAATCTGTGTCGATAAATTAAAAAATAAAAACCAACTAAGCAATCGAATTACGACACCCGGAAGTGTCATCTAAATTAAATTCTTAAAACAGATAAAAACGAGGACAGTATGACATCATTAATAACCGATCAATGAACTTTTTCGTTAGCGAAGGCCATGTGTAACTAATTAAATCGAATGAATTATGGCATTTTTTGAACCCAAAACGTTTTGACCTCGATAAATCAGTATATTACGACATAATTAGTCGATTTTTGGGCTACAAAAATGATAAAATATTCAAGGAAATTGCATCATTCTTTTAATAACAATGAGGGCGTCCAATGAAATTCGAAGTCCTAAGTTAACGACCGCCTATATTGACGATTTGGGGGAAATTTAATAATAATTTTGTGGGGAGAGCGATTTGATATAAAACTCGCGGAAGATAGTTCCCAGTGATCTGAAGATAGTTCCCAGTTGATAGTTGCCAGTTAAGAGTCGAGTCGTCCATTTGAAGTAAAGTCGGTCCAGTTTCGCGAAAAGTTTCTTTTATGGCCTATGGCCTCGGGTATAAATTAACTTAGAAAATTTACGGAAAATCGAGAAAGTAATAACAGTTGAAATTTCGTTCAATCAATTATGTGCATGAAGCTAAATATTTTGAGTAGTTAATTAAATAATTTTACGTGTGTTTTATGGACAAAATGTAAGTACTTTATAGTGACAAGATTTATTTTGATGAACATGACTTTGTGTGAAATTTTACTAGAAAACTTTTGATTTTTAATTTAACGGTGGAACTTTATTACAACGAAATTAATAACTTGAGTGTTTTATGAAGGAAACATTATCGCATAACTTTAATTACCTTCAGATATAATGACATTTAAATGTGCAACAAAAATATGAAGAGTACTTACAATGCATTTAACAATATTCAATTTTGAGTTGGAAATTATGAATTAAACAGTTGGATTTATTAGCTAGGCATAGGAATCCGAAAATAAAATTTGTTCTAAGAAACTATTAACTGCAATAGGAAATTTTAAAAAGAAATTTGATGACATAATAGAATTGTTTTCTTAAAATATTGGAAACTAGTTAAAAGGAAACTTATATTAGAATTTGTCTGATTAAATAAACTAATTAAAAGGAAATAGGATGTTTCGTAAATTAAACTTGTTCATGAAATAGAATTGTCTTAGAATATGGGAAAGCCGTTAAAAGAATTTATTGTCCATGAAATGAATTTTGAATTAGGGAGTTTATTTTACAAGTAGAAGTTATTGTAAGAATTTATGAGAATAAATTAGTTGTTAAACAAATAGGTAATTATTTTGGGTTTTTATAAGTAATGGACTTAGAGATTTTAAGGAATTATTTGACTAGGTAAAGGGTAGTTATTAGGAATGATTTCGATGTAGTAAAATAAATAGAAATATTATTTTGAGAAATAGTATGAATAGGGCGTTTCGTATTAAGTAGGCATATTTCAGTGGTCCGTATAATAACAATATAGAACGGATGTGAAGTATTAATTTTACAGAATTAAAGAAGGATGTAAAGTATTGGGAGATATTTGGCTAATTGATTTTGAGTTTTATGTGAAATAAAATATAATTTAGTACACCTCCTTAGTTTGTTTCTCTCTCTTGCAAATAGACCCTCTTCCACAGATTTTAGATAGCAAGCTCCAAGTACATATAAACACCATCAATATACCGCTCGCCATTTACCATCTAACTAAATTACATAGAGTACTTGGGGCGATTTGCTACAAAGTAGTATATAGTATAATAATTATATTTGACTTTTTAACTCTATTCTTGGTATATTTTTTTAGGTGCGGCCATTGCCAAAGACTATCTCCAACATGGGAACAACTGGCAGAAATGTTGAATGAAGACGACAGTAATATTCGTATTGCAAAAGTAGATTGCACTACTGACGCGAAAATATGCTCCGACCAAGATGTTACCGGTTATCCGACATTGAAATTCTACAAAGTAGGCCAGGAAGAAGGAGTTCGATTCAAAGGAACCAGAGATCTGCCCACATTGACCAACTTTATCAATGAACAACTGAGACTGGTAGGACACATACATATATTTATGTTTCAAATTTTAATACTCATTGACATTTTGATTATAAATAATCCACTTTTAATTTCAGAGTGAAGATTATGATTATGACAATGATGAAGCACCAAAAGCGGTGAAACATCAAGAATCTCCCCTCAAAGAACTAGATGATAAGAATTTTGATGCATTGATTGAAAAAGGAAAGGTTTTTGTTAAATTTTACGCCCCATGGTGCGGACATTGTCAGGTAAGATAGCTAGACCAAAAAAAAACTTCCAACAAAATTTATATTTGAAATGTTTTTAGAGATTGGCTCCAACTTGGCTAGACTTAGCCAAAGCCATGGAATTCGACGATGGTATCACTGTAGCCAAAATTGATTGTACAGAATACAAGGGAATTTGTTCTGATCACGATGTGAAAGGGTATCCGACATTATTGTGGTTTGAAAATGGACAAAAGGTAAAGATATTTTTAATTAAATGCTATCACAAACAAACAAAAAATGAAGCTTTCAAGCACTTAAATACTTGACTAGAATTACATGTATTTTGATAAGTAATAACCACTTAAGTTACTCATGCATGCAAAACAAAACAAAATGTGGCTAATAAGCCTATGCGCTATCTGAGACGTGAAAGAATCTGCTTATATGATAATGATTATCTTATGAGATAAAGCCCAAAAAATAATGATCTCAATAATTTGATCTCAAATCATGCCATGATCATACATAAACACAAAACAAAATGAAAAATCTAAAATCACAGTTTATACAAGTCTAAGTTTCTATTTTATTTCAAACTTTTCGAATTTGTTGTAATGCTCCCATGCAATATCTAGGAATTAGTGAAAAGCTAGAAATCCTTCTAACATTATATTTTTTGTGATTGTTGGATTTCAAACCTTATTGCTTTCTGAGCCGCTTCTCTGAATCTGGAGTACATACTAACAGATCTACTCTTTTCTCAGATGTTAAGGTCTCTATGTTTATAGGCATTTTTCTTTATTTTTATTGGCAAAGTGGGTACTTTCTTTATTTATAACATACATCCTAAAGCAGAAAAAATATTAAAATTGAATTGCTTGAAGTGCACTCAACTTTTTTGAAATTGCTAAATAATTGATGCACTAATGGATATTTTTAAAAACAAATTATTGTTACTTGGTTTATTTACGATAATGAGAAGTGCAAGCTTTTGTTATTTCTCAAGTAACCTTTTTCAATACATATATGTACATATGCAAATAAGGAGCCTATTTTATTCGCTTGTGATAAGACGAAGATAATGCATAAAAATCTATTTGAAACAATAGATGTATGTATGTACAAATATTGGTTCCTCAAATTACCTTTGGAAAAATATTATTTATTCAAATCTTAGATTATTTAATTTCCATGTAAATAATCCTAGATTCAAATTATAAGCGAATAAATTCAAGTTCTCATTGTTATAGAAGCTCAGTTATCGCACTTGTATATTTATTACAACCTTTATGGATTTTATTCAATAACACTTTTCTTTCTTGGGTCAAATATCAGTATTTTCTAATTCCTACAAAATGTTTCCTATAGGTTGGTAAATATTCAGGAGATAGAACACTAGAAGACCTCAAAGAATATGTAAACCGTATGTCTGGAGATAGACCTAAACCTAAAGAGAAGCGACAAAAGCCAGGAGAATGCAAACAGCCTGTGATCGATATGACTGCTGATGCTTTTGCTGATGGTTTGTATTTAACTATTTACAATTCAAGAAAAAATTGTTTTATTTGTAGATTTATAAATATTCTGTTAGTTTACTATAATTGAAAGGAGATTTTACTAAATTTACTGTGAATTTTTTTTGAAAGGTATCGACTTATTTCATTGCCTCAACCTGTTTATTTGAAAATATTATATTTTGTTTTGTTCATTACAGAAATCAAGTCTGGAGTAACTTTTGTTGATTTCTATTCACCCTGGTGTGGCCACTGTAAACGATTAGCTCCGACTTGGGAACAATTAGGCAAAAAATACGAAGACAAAGAGGGAGTCAAGATTGGTAAAGTTGATTGTACTGTTACTGAAAATAGAGAGTTTTGTAATGAACAAGAGGTAATTTAGGTCTTCTTTTTAATAAACAATTTCATTTTAATAACATACTTGCAGATTGAAGGCTTCCCATCACTGTTCCTTTACAAAGATGGTCAGAAAATTTCAGAATACAGTGGAAATCGCGAATTGGAGGACTTGTCCGATTTCGTGGATAAGCATTTACCGCAACACGATGAACTTTAAATAGCCAAAATGATCAAAATACTAGTCATTTTTCTTATTTCCTAGCACACAAAAGACTAAATAATCTTTAGACATGATATAATGTGATCATGAATTCTGTGGGTGTATAATTTTAACTAGTTTTTCCAAATGAAACTTCCCAGATTGGAATATTGTAAAAAGTGGAGGCATTTAAATAATGTATAAGTAATTTTAATGTATCTGGTGTGATATTATTTCGTTGGTGTTTTTAGTATTACATAAATTATTACTAGAAAAAAAAAATGTTTTTATTCTTCATCAACTTCAAATTTAACACTAACAATTCCTTGCAATCCAGCTTCAATAATGTCTCCTTTTTTAACTGCACGGACTCCAGCTGGTGATCCTGTTACAATCAAATCACCCGGTTCCAAGGTGAAATATTTTGATAAATATGAGATAAGGTAAGGTACTTTGAAAACAAGATCACTTGTGTTTTCTGAAAAGAATACTCATATAATAAGAATTGGATGTTTGATTATTTTTTTACCATTTTGCCATTCTTCTCCATTAACTTTCAGCCATAAATTGACATTGTGCGGATCAGGTATTTTTTCTTTAGGAATAAATCGGCTCACTGGACAAGCAGTGTCAAATGCTTTGGCTAATGTCCATGAACCTTGAGGTTTCTGATGAATGAAAATGTATCATTTAAGTTTATGATATAAGTGCAAAAACTCACCATTTGACATGCAGCAGTCATATCTAAAGCAGCACAATATCCGCCTACATAATCCATAGCTTCTTGCTCTGAAACATTTTTGCACTTTTTGCCAATAATTACTCCAAGCTCAATTTCTTCGTTTACTGTTGTAAAACCTTTAGGGATCTTATGAGAAATAAACATGTTACTATGATTTTTGTGTTTGTAATGAAATAGTTACCACAATCTTTTGTCCTTCGGTTATGTATGAACTGGTAGGTTTCAGGAAAATTCCAGGCACATCTGATTTAGTCTTATTTATGGCTTTCAAAAAAGAACTAGAATTAGGTTTTTAGTTTGTATGCTGCCCTAATGTAATCACTTACTAATAATTTGAAGCTATTCCTATACACTTTTTTCCAGAAGTTACAAAATTTTCCACGGAGCCCATTATAACTTAACTGACGCGTGTATTATCTACCTCACAGAACTTATATGGCAAAATAATTATAGTAAGATAAAATCGTTTATTATCAAATTTTTTAAAAATAAACATAATTCTGTCCCAATAAATCTGGTTTAATTACTTTCAAAAGAGAGGTCATTGATAGTTGCTAAGTCAAACGATAAATTTAAATATTACTAAGATTAGATAATAATAATAATAATAATTTGCTGAATTAAATCATGCATTTATCTACTATACTATACAGGGTGTTAATAACTTCTAGGATAGATAGTACTCATTGAAATAAGAAAAAAGTTGAAAGAAACATAGGTTCGCAAATGCTTAGTTTTCGAGATACAGGGTGTCAAAGTATGATAAAATCGGTTTCTGAAAATCCGTTTCCCGAATTTCTTATAAGTGTTATTATTTAAAAAATGTAGATGTGTTATCCATACAATTTCATTGCTCTCTATCCTTTACCTCATAAAACAACAAAGATTGATGAATTCGCATAATTCTTGGCCCCCAGCCAAAGTTTAGCTATGTTGCCAAAGTCTTCAATTTGGCTAAACTTAAAGGATTGCAAGCCCCATGATAAAATTTACAGAATTATACTCGTATGTTTATTGTGGCAACGTAGGTAATAGGTGCATGCTTCTAGCTTTGTAGGCCAAGCCAAATTTTATTTGGCGTTGTTTTAGTTCAGTTATAAATTACGATAATTAAAAAAACATAATTTGCAATTATTTTTCATGGTTACCGCACTATCGGCTATTAAACCTAAATAGATGGGTATTCTTTATCAGTTATAACAATAGTGGGTGGGTAAAATAATTGTTTTACTATGACTGACGATGGTATAAATGCCTTGGAGGAAATATTAGAAAAAATAGGAAAATGGGGCAAATTTCAAGTATTTTATTATTTATGTTTAGGGTTTGTGGTGATTTATTCAGTGTTCACGATGAATTATATTTTTGTTGCTCGTGATATTAAATACAGGTAAGGTAAGACAGAAATTATTTATTTAATATTGCTCTAATAATGAAAGTCTTTTTGGATTGTTGAACACGTTTTCTGAGCAACTGGATATTGATCAAATTTAGGAGTAGGTAGGATGCAGGCTTTGCCACCATGTCAAGATTTGTTTAGTATTTCTCAAGTCTGTAGGTACATTTGAGAATTATTTACAAAATATGTGTTTAAGATACCTACTGTCTGAAATAATAATAAATTATTTAAGCAAGGAAACGTGGTTGCTTGTATGTATAAGGAATAGTAAAGAAGGAAACGCCATCAAACAAACTCAGCGTAGTAAAGCGCTTTCGGCTAAAAATCGGGATCATATGTTTACTTCTTCTCTTTTCAACTTCTGCCTATTCCAGGCTCTCGAATTTTGGTTCTCTTCTTTATGCAAGAGACTTCCTAAAATTCATTTTTGAATAAAAATACCTATGAACAGAGCGCGATTCTCTCAGTCTTGAAACTCAGAAAAGTAATTTCTAAATTGTTCTGAAGGATTTTTAAGTACCTAGGTATTTTAGAGCCCTATTGCAGTTCCAAAGTATTCTAAATTGATTCAAAAGAGTTCTAAAAGGTTTCCAGTTCTAAATTGAATCCTTATTTGTTCTGAAATAACTCTGAAATCCTGAAAATTCTGATTTGGATTTCAACTGTTTTGGATGCTTATTAAAGGTCTAGTTCTGCAGGAATCTAAATTCGCTCCTAAAAGCCTTCTGAAAGGCGTTTTGTAACTTTGAACCTGAATCCTGAGATTCTGGCGCTTTTCAATATGTTTCCAGAGATTCTAGAGCGTTTGAGTGTTTTGGAGCATCCTAAAATGGGTTTCAAACTTGTTGGAAACATGTTCCAACAATCATGCTATCTCTTTCTGATGGCAAAATATTTTTATACATATAAAGCTCATTGCTACCTATGACTCGATCGCTTGATGTGAAATTTTGCCGATTTTACTCCAGCTTCCCATAAACCACCAAAAACTGGAGAATAGCTCGGTATAAAATTAAATGTAATTTTTTCCTGAAGAGAATAAAATCAAAGAGTTTTATAACGAAACAGAAAAAATTGAAAATTATTCCCTTCAGGAAAAAATTACATTTAATTTTATACCGAGCTATTCTCCAGTTTTTGGTGGTTTATGGGAAGCTGGAGTAAAATCGGCAAAATTTCACATCAAGCGAGTCATAGGTAGCAATGAGCTTACCTATGAACAATTTAATACTCTTATTGTCCAAGTAGAAGGAATTTTAAATTCCCGACCACTTGTAGCCTTGTCACAAGATCCTTCAGATTTGGACTATTTGACCCCTGGTCATTTTTTGATAGGTGCGCCTATCACAAGCTTTCCTGACCCTGATTTGACGGAAATTCCCCAAGGTCGACTTAAGTTGTGGAAATTGTGTGTCCAGATGCAGCAGCATTTTTGGAAAAAGTGGTATCACGACTCTAACGCAACTCCAAAATAGGCCAAAATGGCGTGATGAGATGCCTAACCTTAGGGAGGGCTTGTTAGTCATTTTAAAAGAGGATAATGTACCTTCTTATAAGTGGCCAATGGCAAGAATAGTTAAAGCAATACCTGGAAAGGACGGCAAAGTAAGGGTTGTCGAAGTGAAAACCAAAAAAGGTATTTATCTCAGATCGGTTACCAAGATTGCAGTGTTACCGATTGATGACAATAATTGTTAATAATATTTTTGAAAATTATTCACAAAATTCTGTACATATATTTGTAAAACATTTAGATTTATATTTATATTCAATTAGCTATACTCGTATATACATACATAATGTCATACTATGTGTTCCAGAAATGTTTTTAGCTTTAATTGTTAGTTAAGTTTTCGTTTACTGGATCATCATTGAAATCATACCTTTTTTTAAAAAAAGGGTTGCTTACTTTCTCTTTAATTTTTTTATTTTTTTTGCTGGAAAATTTTACCTTGGTTTCATGTGAAACTCTAGGCCCCCCAGCATGTTGGAAACATGTTCCAACAATCATGCTATCTCTTTTTGATGGCAAAATATTTTTATACATATAAAGTTTGCAACACTGCAGCGTTGTCGTCATGTCTATTTTGTCATGTCTGTCAATATATTGCGCGCCATTTTTGTCATTGCAGCAGTGTAGCTTGGAGCTTGTCCACGTTAACAAGCATCCAGAAACCTTTTCACATTTTAATAAATTTTATAATCTAGCTCTGCCCTGTTGGGCATCTAAGCAAGCTCTGGCTTCTTGTCATCTTGTAGTAGTAATTGTAAATAGTGTAAATATTGTGTAAATTGTTGTAAATATAGTGTCAGTGAAAAGCGCGTGTGTTTTAGTTCCCTATCCAGTCGATCATCCAGTCCACCTAATTATACAGTCCACTAATTATCAAGTTATTTATCTTCCATTATGTGGTTTTGCACAAAACTTCTGAATTGCTCTAAAATGCGTTGGGAGCATTCTTTTCTGAAGTTTCCAAATTGTGCTGAAGCGCAATTGCTCAAGAATCTCCGTCAAGCATTGCAAGATGCCTGAAATCAGAACTAATCACTTAAATTCAGAGGAAGAAAAGGCAATACAAAATTTATGTAGGAAGTATGCAGACATTTCCATCATCCATTATGTCTCTGACCTTTACAAACCCGATCAAACACCATATTTAAACAAAAGGTTAGATTCCAGTGTACATCAAGTCATATAGATATCCACGTATCTATAAAGAGGAAGTGAGAAACCCAGATATCTTTCATGTTGGATCAAAGAATTATAAGACCAAGCCAGTCACCTTGGTCTTCCCCGATATGGATAGTTCCAAAAAATCCAGACGCCTCCGGAAAAATGAAATGGCGGATTAGTATGGACTAGGAAAATAAATAAGAAAACTATCGACGATAAATATCCAATTCCATCTTGGACAAACTGGGTAGATGCCAGTACTTCACGACCTTGGCAAGTAGTTTTTACCAAATCTAAATGGCTAACGAATATATGCAAAACTGCTTTCAATGTCGGAAATGGCTATTACGAGTATGTCCAAATACCGTTTGGCCTAAAGAACGCTCTAGCTAAGTTCCAGAGTGTAATAGATAACGTTTAAAAAGGCCTCCAAGGAGAAAATTGCTTAGCGTACATGGACGGTATCATTGTGTTCAGCACATCACTTCAAAGTACCTGGTTTATGTTTCAAAAATCTTTCAACGTCTCGGAGAAACTGGATTCAAAAGGACAAATGCGAGTTCCTAAAAAAGGAAGTTGCCTTTCTTGGACATATTGTAACACCAGAAGGAATAAGACCAAATCTACTTGACTATCCAAAACCGCGAACCACGAAGGAAATCCGAGGATTTCTAGGCCTCCTTGGATAGTACAGGAAGTTTATCAAGGACTTCGCAAAAATTACTAAACCTCTAACTTCCTGCCTCAAAATAGGACTCTAAAATAGAACTGACAGCAGAATTTTTGAACTGCATTAGAACTTGCAAAAATTTACTGAAAAATCAAACTTTTCTGCAATATCCAGACTTCAGCAAGTCTGTTAATCTAAATACTGATCTGGCAACTATGCAACTATCCCAAGGACCAATCGGCAGCGGTAAGCCCATTGCATACGCGTCCAGGACACTCAACGAAACCGAGTTTAAATATTCCACCATTGAAAAGGAAATGTTAGCCATAATCTGGGCCACCAAGTACTTCAGTCCCTACTTGTTTGGAAGAAAGTTTAAGATACTTTCAGATCACCGTCCTCTCCAATGGCTTTTCTCCATGAAAAACAATAGTTCTAAAATAGTTAGATGGCGTTTAAAGCTGGAAGAGTTTGATTATGAGATAATCTATAAGAAGGAAAAATCAAACACTAATGCAGATGCTCTTTCCAGAGTCGAAATCCATACCAAAGAAATAGCCCAACCACCACAAGACGAAGATAACGCATCGCATCTTTGGTACAACAATGCAGAATCAATCCTCGACCTAGAAGAAGTTCTAGAGAAACCCGCTTCACAAGCAAAGATACAATAGGTACGTCACCAGTGAAATCCTTGATAATTCATCCAGAACCAACACAAGCCGACCTGGAAGAAGATAAAGAAACTAGACACACTGTTCAGGAAGAACCTATACTCGGTATTCCAATTAGCGGAACTTCCCTTTCCTAACAAATCCAGGCTACATGTCCAAGTAACCAAGAATAACTTAGAAGGAAGCTTTATAAACCTTCTTAAAGAAAAGATAGACCCCAAGAAAAAGTATGCAATATTTTTTAAGGACGAAGATCTTTATGTTCCTCTATGCAACATCCTTAAAGAAACTTTTGAAAATTCTGCATTCGACTTCGCATTCGATCAAATGCAACTTTCTCCAAGAAGACGTCAATAGCAAGGAAAAACAAATCATCGCGGAATTAACGAAACCGAAGCGCAAATCCGAAGAAAATATTACTGGCCTAACCTCAAACGAGATATTGAAAATCAAATATCATAAATCTTTGCGACACCTGTTAGTCAAACAAATACGATAGGAATCCAGCCAAACCTAAATTCATGATTACTCCAACACCGACTAGACCTTTGGAAATTATTCATCTAGATACCTTTCAAGCCGGATGGCAGGAGTTTTTAACAATTATTGATTTTTTTTCAAAATATAGACAAGCCTTCCCCATAGAGGGATCAAATTTAGTGAATGTTCTTAATGCCCTCCTCAATGGAATACCACACAGAATTTCGAATGAAATTATACAGGAATTTGTAGATACACATAAGATATCTATCCATTATACCACCCCTGATAACCCACAATCCAACGGCATGATAGAAAGATTCCACTCCACCATTATCGAACACCTGAGTGTTAAAGAACAAATTCCATATGCCGGCATACACACACGTTATTTCGCGCGGTTTATCGTGTCATCGCAAAAACCTGTGAAATATCATGTGTGTGAGTGACGAGGGCTGCACGCAATGATAGAAAGGAAAGGGAATTCAGGCGTGCTTTTATCTGGATTAATCTGGAATGTGGCGTCAGTATTCAGTAGTACATGATGTGTAGTTGGTGCAGTTCACACCGGTGTCCACACGCTATTCCATGGCACGGTTTTGAGGCTAGTACAAGGACATAAACGCCGCGTAGCAAACTATAATGTTGAAAATTAGTACATGACCACATGCACTTTCAAACGACACGATAAATGACTTTTTGCCTACACACATACAAATTTTCCTTTGAAACTGATATTCCACGCGTGATCACGTGCTAAATCATTTGAATACTTTGTCAAGTGTATGGAATATGACGCTTTTTTTGCCACGCCGTTCTTTCGCGCATGCTAACCGCCACATCCCAACATACCACGATAAACCACGCGAAATAACATGTGTGTATGCCGGCCTAATTAAAAACATGCGACCAATGGAAAAAACGAAGAATATCTACAGTAAATTGAATCAAAAGCTACATGAATCCAAAGAAAAGTACATAGGAGCAAGAAACATAACCAGGCAAACCCACCTCACCTACAAACCTAGCACGAATATTTACTCCAGGAAAACTGTAAAGCGGAACAAACTATTTCCAAGATTCTCTCCCAAGACAGTTAACACGGACAATATTATTGTGACCATTGCTACTCAAGACACACGATAATACCTGAAAAGAATATCAAAGATCTTCCAGGAAATAACTGTAGAAATTCCTTACAGATGTTCCTCAGCCGTCGCTCAGAACCTTCTGATCAAGGACTTGACCCAGGAATACTTCCCCTCAAGCTGGGACGGGCAAGGATTCAGAGTAATATCCACGACTTCATTCACTTTTTTTACCTCTTCTCAGTAATTAGGGAACTTCAGTCTCTGGAAGAACAATACGAATCAGTATAAACAGCAATAAAAAATGGACTGAGTCACCCATACTTCAAAAGCCTGCAAAATTTCGATCAAAGTATACAGTTCCTGTTAAAAGCCGCCAAAGACAAAAAGGATTTCGAAAAAGAACCTTAGGGGGACAGCAATGGAAGAAACAAGTCCCGAAGAAAAGGAACCAACAGTTTTGTTCGTCCCTTACAAAACTTCCCCCGGTAAGGGAGAAATTACGGATCAATGACCCCATATATCCAGAATACCACCGACTATCATTGAACCCATGGCTCAGCAGCGACAACCCGATATAGCTATCTAATTTCGCTTAAATTCGATGAAGTGAGATGCTGAATTCTGAATACATCCACTTCCAGAAAATCTTTGGTGTGTCTTTTCACAAATCCTAAGGTTTTTAAAGCCTTATTATATTACATATGTAGTCAATGTGATCAACAAATGTTAACCTACTATCAAGATGTCCACAAACTACATTCAAGACATCTTTGTTTACGTCTTGAAAACATCTTGAAGACGTCGTATGTTACAAAACCTAACGTCTTCAGACATCTGCCTAAAAAAGTCTTTAGGACCAAGGCATTCTAAAGACGTCTTCCATGAGATGTCTTCAAATCCCTTTTCAATACATAAGCCATTATTCACTTTTAGACCTCAGTTTACATGTCAGTCTATACGACATCTTCAAAACAACGTCTTAAAGACGTCTTTTTTTTTGGTCTTCAGACGCAATTCAAACCCAAAAAAGACGTCTTTTGAGACTTTGTGTGCTAGAGCTACTATGCTGAGTCTCAATAAATTGGAATGTATAAATGAAATACAACTATTGTTTCCTTCCTTACATAATTATTGTTATGGGTGTGGTAATGAAATCTTTTTCTTTCAGATGCTACATTCCAGAATGCGACCCAGAATCTCCAAAAGACGCCAAATACAATCCAGAATTTCTAAAAAACTTTGTCACATTCAAAGAAGGCTTTCCAGATAGATGTTCAACATATAACATTTCACAAACAAACCTCTCTTCTGTTCCAGAAATGTGCACCCAAAATAACTATAGTTTTATTGGTAATCGTGAGTCTCACAAATGTAGTAACTATGTTTTTGAGAGGCCTGAAAGGACTATCGTACATGAAGTAAGATTTCCTGAGTAAAATTATTATGGAATGTAACGTATTTTCTTAGTTCGAAATATTCTGTGGAGAAAATCTTTGGATGCTGACAATGGTGGGCAGTGCAAACGTAGCTGGAGAATTAGTCAGTTTGTCTTACACTGGATTTTTATCTGACAAGTGAGTAAAATTACAAATTAAATATGAGATAAATTTAATGCAAAAACATTCATTAAAAAGAAAGGACCCTTTCATTTGAATATACAATTAATAAAGTCCAAAATCTCCATAAAAATAATTTAATTTTTGATTTCCTTCTCATCAGAGATCGGTAAAAAACTTTATTTGCGAAATTAAAACGTTTCGCTGAGTACACTTCATCGGTTTTATTGGCCTTTATGAGTGCAGCGATTATTTTCTGAGTACCTATCAATATGAAATAAAAAACGAAGACAAATAGGCCTATAAAGGACTATGGTTTCCCATTTTATTGACTATAAAATTGGAAGTTTATTTTTGGCTTATACTTTTTTTTATGATTTTTGGTAGGGATGATAGAATGAATTCTGAGTTAAACTGCCCACGAGCTGAATAAAATATGACAATAATAATTATATAGCTTTTTGAGAACGAATTTGGAAATTAACTTTTTCAAGAAATAAAAAGAATGTGTGTTTAGGAAACTCTCAAAAGGGCTTTTTGCCTAAGAAAGAAAGAAAGAAAGAATTTGCTTTATTGTCAGAAAATTTTACAATTTTGTGGACAAAGCTGAAAAAATAAAAAACAAAACATACAAATGCAAAAGCACAGACAAAACCAAACACTTGAACAAATAGTTCATGGTCAAAATTTGATTAAAACCAACCAACAAACATCTAGGTCTAACTGCTTATACTGTGCGAGGAAGCATATTATAGGTACTAAAAAAACAAACAAACAATAACTTATAATAACCTATCATGATACAGGAACAAAAACAAAACCTGTGAGTAAGCTGCTCAAAATTTAGAATTAGGAAACCATAAACAACTCGCTTACTGTGTACAAGGCTCTCCCCACTAAATACACCTTCAACGCCCTGCGAAATTCGAGGAAAGATGTAATGGACCTGATGTTAGGCGGTAGATGATTATGCATATTTTTAGCATTATAAAGTATTGAACTTTTAACTAACTCTGAGCGCGGGATTGGCAGATAAAGATCCAACTCTGCGTTCCTCAGTGGATAATTGTGAGATGGCCTCTCTGAGATAGCTGGATAGATGGAAGAGTCAATATACTAGACTTGATAAAAAATTCCCGGCAGTGAGTTCTACTACCAAGTCCCAAAGAATAACGAAGAGCTCTCTTCTGCAGTCTAAAAATGCGTTCAAATTGAGACGCACAACACGTGCCCCAGAATGGAAGGGCGTAACGTAAATGCGACTCAAAAAGAGCATAATATACCATCCTGCAAGTTGCCGAGTTAAGCTCCCTGGAAACAGATCTCAGTGCAAAACAGGCCGAACTTAATTTCTTTGCTAAGGCGTCGATATCAACAACAAGCCCCAGGAATTTCACGGAATCAACGGCCTCCATGGTATTGTTATCCAGTACTACAGATTGGATCTAAGCTCTGTAAGATAAAACTTTGGTTTTAGAGAGGTTGAGGCACAGGAGATTTGAGTCACACCATGATTTGATGGTGATTAAGTCGCTAGATACGGTTCTATGGAGTTCCGTATCTAATATCCGGGTTGCTCCAAGTGAAACTAGTATCGTCTGCGAAGAGACAAACTTTGCCGCTAATATCCAGACTAGCAATGTCGTTAATAAATAGCAGGAACAAAATAGGGCCAAGAACTGAACCCTGAGGCACACCACATTCAATTGGTTTACAAGAGGACATGGTCGAGTCCACCCTCACAAGCTGACTTCTGTTACCAAGATAAGACTTAAACCATTCGAGAGCCATTCCTCTGAAACCGTAGAACTGTAATTTGTTAATTAAGATATTATGATTAACACAGTCGAAAGCTTTGGAGAAATCACAGAAAATTGAGGCTGTAGAGTGGTGGCAGTTCAGGCTGGAGTATACATTATTGAAAAGGGAAAACATTGCATCATTAGTACATTTGTTACTTAGGAAACCGAATTGACTGGTAGTTAGAATATTATATTTAGAGAGAAATGATTGAAGCCTCTTTTTAACCAATCTTTCTATGATCTTTGATAGCGTAGGAAGGAGTGCAATGGGGCGATAGTTTGAAGGTAGCTCCTTATCACCTCCCTTATGCAGTGGGATAATTATCGCCACCTTAAGATAGTTTGGAAAAGCTCCATTTAGAAACGACTTGTTGATCAGAGTAGTAAGATGTTTTAATGTGCAATCAGGAGGATTAGAGAACATTTTGAGGGTGAGTCCATCAGTCCCAGATGAAGATTTGTTTTTAATATCTTTGATTGTACTGCGAAGCTCTGGAACTACTACAGGCGTGAAGAAGAAACTGTGTAAGTTCACCTTAGCATTCGGGAGATATGAAAGTGGGTCCTGGGAAGGAGTTAAGGTATTCACTAAATTCTTAGCCACATCAACAAAGTAATCGTTAAGGATCTCAGGTGAAGTAGGAATTTTGCTAGATGAAGAACCCTTATTCCTCAAGTCATTAACAATTGACCATGTTTCTTTTGCAACATTTTCGGAGTTTGCCAGCCTCCTATTATAATAAATGTCTTTGGCGGCTTTTATGGTTTTCTGATAGACTTTTCGGTATAATTTTACGTAATCATTGAAGAAGACGCTATCCGAGAATTTTTTTAGATGAGATAAGGATCGCATATTTTTTCCAGAAGTACGCAAGCCACTAGTGGACCATGGTTTATGCCGTTTGACTTTGATGGGTCTGAGAGGAAAGGATTTAGTCGCCAGGTCAGATAGGGTATTTATGAATCTAGAGAACTCGGAGTCAACATCATCTGAGTGGACGATCCAGTCAACTGATAACCAAGTTGACTGAAATTTAAAAAATTTCCATCCGAAAATATTCTGCCCAATTTGCGGGAAGCACCCTTACGTATGGAATTCAATGAGAAATTCGTTAATACTGCTTCGTGGTCAGAAAACCCTGCACCAAAAATAGAACAGTTGACCAATTCTGGATCAAAAGATGAAGCGACATAGTCAATGGTAGTAGAACTAGTTTTGGTTATTCTGGTTGGAGAGTTTACATGCATCACAATCCCAAAGGAGTCGAAAATGGACTGGAGAGATTCTTGAGCAGCGCACACACAGGAAAAATTTATATTATAGTCACCACATAAAATTATTTTGCAATTCAAGGGCAAGGAGTCAAGCAAGCTCAGCAAATTCCGACAAAACATGTGCGCGTCTGTGTCCGGTGATCGATATAAACAAACAATATAAAGGTCAAAGCCACTATGATATTTTTTCCGATAATAAATTATCAAACTTGGTTATTGCCGTAAAGTCATTATTAGTGGACATTATCATAGTGCCTCAGTGAGATAAATTACTTCGATTAAATCTAGCTATTGAGGTGTAATTTTTGACAAACACAGGTTCATCCATATTTAACCAGTGTTCAGTAATGGCGATGATTTCTGGAAAATTAAGCTCTTCTAATAAAAGAAATAATTCATCTGTTTTGTGTGAATATTAATAAGAAATACACTAAGCTTGCCATCGTCCAACCTTACAGAGGGTGCTTGATCCTCTGAACGCGTCACCTTATCTAAAATTTTTTATTATTACGTGGAGAGCCACTAGAGAAATATTTGCTCTGACTTTCCCTAATATTCTGTAACCGGAGAAGTTTCTCGGACGAGAAGTAAGACCTGAAGGCGGAGAGATCAGCGTCAACTTCAGCCAGACCAATGCCATACGCGTTGTGGAAACGGAAATATAACTTCCGCAATGAGTCCAAGTCACTAGGAAGTCCCTCCGAAGCTAACATTAATTTGATACTGGTGTTAGTGTGCCCATCAAAACACACGGTGGATGGTTGGTCATGGAGATAAGCCAGGAATAGCCTAAGAGCTTTAAGAATGGCAGGGTCTCTTAGTCTAGCCAATAAATATCGACCATCAGCTGTATCGGAAGCTCGCGATAATCGCACAATGGGTGGAGTCATCGGGTCCATGATTGATTCATCTTTTTTTCTACTTGTATCCATAACAATTTTTGTGCTGTCTAGTGCCAGGGACTTAGAAACAGCTATAGCCTCCCTTTCAGAACCAATCCTGATAGTTTTATCATCCTTAGTCGGGTTAATCGGGGTTGAGTCAGAGTTTAGTGGTCTACTTCGGCCCTCCGCAGTGTTGGGTTTGAAATGGTGATGAGACTGATGCTGTGGATCTACTGTAATTGCTGCCGACGGTGGCAATGCCTTTAAAAGTGTTGCAGATGAATTAGCAGTCTCTATACCCGTACCTGGAGGCCACATGCTTCTGTCCAAAAGCTGCTTTAGGTGATTTTTGTTTTGAACGCCAACTTTGAAATCAGTGTGAGAGCAGTCTTTATTTTGGAGCATTGGAAAGCATCTGATAAACTCCGTGGTTCCAAGTTTTTCCTTTACAAAATGAGCAAGCTGTTTTGCTGTAAAAGGATGGGGGATTTTTGACACTACCACATAATGCCAGTTTTCTTTTAGGGCGGAATTCTGAGGTGGGGGACAGACTCGGGAATCAATGACCACTTGCGTAACAGGGGATGTCTCTTCACTATCGGTCTGGGTTGAAATCGACGCTGTAATTGACTTTTTTACAGGTGGCGGGCTGCTCCTAGTAGACGGTTTCTCTTTGCCTGCTAACTTTTCCAACGTGAGCGCCATTTGGTTGACACATTTCCTCAAATCTGCCATTTCCCTTGTTAACTCTTCTTTTGAAGAGTCATGTACCTGAACCTTTATAGACTCATCATGACCGTCCATGAAGATCGACGAAATGTTGCACAAGTCTCGTTTCATTTCCCTAATTGAATGGAATAGAGATTGTGGTCCACTCTCAGAGTACTCAGAATGGTGGTTGTGTATGTCATCCACTTTCTTGGATAAGTCGCTCCACCTGGAATCATGAGCGCTTAAGGTGTCGCCTAATTTAGTTTGTGTAGAGCAATCTACAAAGTTCGATTGTGCATATATTTTTTATTAGCGACTTTTTTCGTTTATCATATGCGCACACGTCACTTGCTGGCAGCAGCTGCATTTTATGCTGCCTTGTCCGAGATTTTAAAAAGAATATATTCTCGGCCGCAGAGTAGACAACACACTCTCGCTACGCGACCCGTACAAATTCGTGTCGTATCGGACAGTTCGGTCACTACAACGAAACTGCCCCTATTTTACTGCCCTAAGAAGCTACAGAGTACTCTGCTACAGTCAACACGCTTCAGTTTGGACCAGTACCCACAGAACCAACAGAAACCTTTTCAAAGGTAAGTGATGTGTGCGTACCGGGCTTAAACATTTATTTCCATTTTTTTCAAATCATACAGTCCACTATACAATTTTCATATTTTCCGCCACAATGTGTGATATAATTAATTGATCATAATTGAACCTTCTGAGAAATCTGATATAGATCTTTGATTTGAAAATAGTTGATTAATAGCTAACAGTTCCAGGAAACAATAAAAAATTCCAGATTGTCTGGCAAAAGACTTAAAAGCAGATATCCTGCTTATTCTCCCGGGAGAAAATAAAAATGAATTTCGTTTTGTCTTCTGGTCTTAAACACAGGAAATGCAATTTAAGGTCTATTGCCAACGTCTCTTGTCCCTTGTCCAAGTAAGAAACCTTTCCAAATATAAATTATTGTTTCAGGTATGGACGCAAGACAATTATGGCTCTTAGCGTTCTTCTAAGTAGTATATCAGGCATTACTAAGTCATTTTCCGTCAATTATTACATGTTCCTTACATTTGAATTCATGGATACTGCCTTAGGAGGCGCTATGTATGGTGCTGCATTTGTCTTAGGTAAAAACATATTACAATCATTTAGCTCTAATAAATCAATGACCCTTACTAATATTCTTGCATTATTGAAGTCCCTTGGGTCAATTGCTGACATTTGGGCTTCCAATCAATTTTGAGTTATATAACTAAATTTACTTCGGACCCTAATTATAACTGCCCTTTTCCCTTATTGGTTGGTCACTGAGCTATAATAATTATTAGAGCCACAGTGCTGATTTTTATACTTAAATTTTAAAATGTAATTTTAGCAATGGAACTAGTTACAGCTGAAGACCGTAATATTGGTAACACAGCGATAAGCTGCGTCTATGCCTTGGGGCAAGTAATTCTCGGTGTTATTGCCTGGATGACACCGGATTGGAGGACGATGATTAGGATCTTGTATTTTCCGGGTCTTCTCTCTATACTTATATGGATTTTCTTGCCAGAATCTATAAGGTAGACAACTTGGCAATATTTCAATTTTTCTAAAAATAATTATTTTAGATGGCTTCTTTCGAAAAACAAACTTCAACAAGCCGGCGATGCTTTAAGAAACATCGCAAAAATAAACGATAAAGTTTTGTCTCGGGAGGATCTGGAAAGTTTAAAAAAGATGTTTAAAGTCAATGGAATAAGTTTAGAAGAAACCGAAGCTCAAAAAGCTGAAAACGAAGGGAGCGTAGCTTCGTTCTGGAGTGTACTCAAGAATCCTGTTTTGCTTGTTAGGACTATTCATTGCTCTATGACGTGGGTGGGTGAATGAAAAATTAGCTTTCTTAAGCCAGTTATGAAAATAAATTTAAATGCTCACTTGAGAGATATGTAGGGCGAAAGCTGGATTTATTTTTCTTAACTGAAATAAGTTTTTGCTGCTCTCGAAAAAATGAACTTCAAGATTAAACCAGACAAATCGTGATAATGATTAGTTAAATAATGAAAAAGAATCAACGTTTTCTGATCCTTGATAATTTGAATTAGATACCTACTAGATTTTAATTAAAATTATTCAAATGTCTTTGAGTATTATGGTCTACGAACTGATGATATTGTTAGGAAATTGTATTGGTCAGATATTTCCGAGTTCGATTAATTCAAACAAACAAGTATTTACGTGGATTCTAGAAATTTCTCGATTGAAAACTTTCGTCTATAAGGCGCGTAGTTTGTAAGTTCCAGTCAGTGTTGAGCTAATTAGTGGAAACAATCAGTGAACTTTTTTTGAACTGAAATAGTGATTTTTAAAGATCAAAAAACAAGTTCACGCAGAGTGATTTTTCTTTTTCTTCCATCGAATTGTATTGGCAAAACAAGAATGAATAACACAACAATGTTAGGAAATGGAAAACGAAAACGATGAAATTTCAATTTTTTTTTTTGTCGAGATTTTATATCGAAATGGTCCATTGGGATCCCCCAAACTCCACACAGTAAATTATTCTCAGATTTGGAGCCATATTAGGTATATGAGAAAAGGCACTCAGAAAAATTGAAAAATTAATAAATCACTCCAAATTGCTTAACACTATTTTATCTCAGGAACTATAAGTCCAAATGAGTTGAAATTTTCAGGGATTGTAGTCCTTTGATTGGGATAAAAATCAGTGAAGATTTCAGATTTCTATCTATATTTAAAAAAAAGTTACGACCTTTCAAAGTTTTCCAAAATCTAAATCATAAGGTAGGTACCTTCTTACTAAAACGATGAAATTTCAATTTTTTTTTGTCGAGATTTTGTATCCTAATGGTCAATCAACATCCCCTAAACTCCATACACTAAATTATTCTCAGATTTGAAGCCGAAATCTATGAAAAAAGGCACTCAGAAAAATTGAAAAATTGATAAATCATCCCAAATTGCTTAACACGATTTTATCTCAGGAAATATGAGTCCAAATGAGCTGAAATTTTGAGGGATTGTAGTCCTCTACTGGGATAAAAATCGCTGAAAATTTCAGCTTTCTATCGATAATAGAAAAACAGTTATGACCTTTCAAAATTTTCCAAAATCTAAATCATAATTTCTTGTAAAATTCCTAATAAATCAACTCTGGAAGTTTCTGAAAGATATTTCCCGGAATCAGAGCAATTTCAGACTTTCAGGAACTCATAACTGAAGTTTTTTCTTTAAACAAAACAAATTGAAAGGTAATCCAAGCCTCAGAAAAAGAATTATGATTTTTTTTCCAAGTCGATGCCAAAAATGTTTGTGAAATTCCTAATAAATCAACTTTGGATGCTTTAGAAAACTACTTTCAGGAATCAGAGCAACTTTAAACTTTCAGAAACTCATAGTTGTTCGTCTGGGAGTTGGGACTGTTGACTGTTGTTCGTCAGAGAGTTGAAATTTTTCGCCAAGAAAGTGGAGAAAGTTTTCAACACATATAGTAGAACTAGAATATATTAACACAGCAGACCTAGCAAAATGATGCAATGAAGAAATAAAAATAAACATTCACAGAGAATATCACAGGACAAAATTAGGAACGAGGACCTTTCAAAACAGATAAAGGGCAGATATGTAAGAGAACATGTTGGGCAACAGACTTGTAGAATTGCGAAAAAGGCTGAAAAAGAATTCAGAGTAGACTAACAAAATGTTGGAAAACTCTGTTTGAATAGGCATAAATGGTTAAAATACCGACCTTTAAATAACATATCCATATAAAGGAAAGAAAGAAAAAGATGTATTAGCACATCAAAATGATGAATTAAGAGAGATAGGTAGGTACCAATTTTGTCTCAGATCATTATTTGTACAAAAACCTAAGGATAAAATCGAATGGTAGACGAGGAAATTTATTAGACATGTAAGAAACAAATCAACAAACTTGCTCAAAATACTCAAGCCTGACAAAGTCAAGTGAGAAAAACGAGAAAACTTCAGTTCTAAAATGAGGCCAAAAGTTGAGGAAATTGCGATGCAAGGACAAAAAGGACGAAACGGCAGTACGTTAATTACTTTTTCAGCATAGAGCGGAAATTACGTTACAATGCTGAGAAGTGACCCCAATACGAATGTGTAAGAAGTAACGTTTTATTTACATACGGTTTTTTATGATAAATTTGACAATTTATCAATTCTAGATGGGGAAAATAGTTCTTTAGATTTCTTGAATGTTACTTCATAATAATTTAAAAAAATGTGTTTCATACTTTCATGAATTATGAGACAACTCTAGATTTTTATTTCATAAAAGGGCATATTATGTCGTTTATGTTGAAACAAACAATTTAAAACTAGATTTTTATAATGTTTTTCGTAGATTTGTTGCACCTTTGTTTTTTACGGCCTGACCATTAATTCGGTAAACATATCGGAAAACATCCACCTCAGTTTTATTTTCGCCGCGATGGCAGAGACACCTGGCTACGTCATATATTATTATGCAAACGAAAGATCGGGCAGACGAAAGCTGATGTTCTACAGCCTGGTTTTAGGGGGTGCATTCTGTTTGGCCGTGGGATTCTTGCCAGATGGTAAAAGTTTTCTATCATCTTGGCTTTTTTATCGCTCGAAATTCTATTTTTAGGTTGGCTGAAATTGATAACGTTTTTCTGCGGAAAATGTTCTTTGACCATCGCTTATACTGTGTTATATGTATTTACCACAGAACTATTTCCTACCTCTTCTAGACATGCCATGTTTTCTATTTGTTCTATGTTTGGTAGGATGGGTTCAATGGTAGCACCCCAAGTGCCATTATTAGTAAGTTGATAACTTATAATTTAAGTAAATAAACAAATATTATTACTTGTTTCTAGGCAAGGATCTCTAAAAGATTACCTCTATTTTTGTTTAGTTGCATGTCATTCACATTTGGATTTTTAGCTCTATTTTTTCCCGAAACTGCGCACATTGCTTTACCTCATACCATTGAAGATGCTCTCAATATTAGTAAACGAAAAACCAGAAATAATAAGACTGAAGAAACTTCTTTAGAAAATACATTTTAATGTTACCATTATTGGTTGTTTTATTTTTAGTTGGTTTTAACAAAAAACATCGGAGAATCCTAAAAAAAGCTTTTAAGACGCCTAATATTTTCCTAAAAGATGTCAACAAAACCAAAAAAAAACACTCCATTCGACTTTATATCGGATATTTTGTAGCATTCCTTTTATAAAAATGAATGTTTCGGTAATCGATTCTTTATGGTGAAGTGTTTACGATGCGGCTGGAGTAAAACATACCATTTATTTTATTTCGCCCTTAAACGATATATATATCTGGGGGCTCTTTTTGGGTGTTGTTAAAAAGGAAATTTGGTAAGTGGAACAACACTGAGCTTTAGTGTTGAAAGAATTGTTTTTCATTTTATCTTGGGATTTTAGTCAATAAAACTACAAAGTATGAAAATTGATTTAAAATTTCCGTATCTGGTTTATATGATATACGTTTTGCTGCTATCTACAACTAAGTCCGTCGGTGACCCACAAAACTTTTCGAAAACCGAATATTCTAAAAGTTAAAAGTTCCATTCTTCGCCCAAAAGTATTTTGACAAAGTCAGACCCATTATTATTTTTCAAAACTGTCCCAAAGTCCTGGGGCCATTTTAGGCAACTTTTTCACCCACTTTATTGTTACTTCTTTTCTTTGTGAAATAGGAAATGAGGAGCAATTTTAACTTTTCCTAGTAAGTGGATGTATAAAAATGGGAATATCCCGAATATGGCGCAGTTTTATGTTCCAGGAGGGCGGCCAGTTTTGAATAGAAAAGACTGCATTGATTGTAGAAGTCGGAGTTTCTGGTCCAATCCCGATATTAATAAGTGCCTATTTATGGATAGTGTTGAAAAAGTTTTAGAAATTTTCTTAGTTTGATAAGGAAGTTTTGTTCTATGAGTTTTTTGCATAGGAAAGAGAAAATTTTCTACACGCTCAATGGTTATATTTAACCTAAAGGAGGCTTCGACTTTGGGATATGACCTCTTTTTTCATGAAAATTAATATAACATTAATTATTTTTAGGATTATTTGTAGATTATAATCTGAAGAGCTGGAAAAAGAGGTGACCGAGCTCATGACTAATGGATGTATAGATGATACTCCACCGGGGACACGGGCTGGGCCATCCACAACCTAAAAATAGGTCCAATCATTATCCCATACCATGGATAAAGAGACCTTATTTCTTCAGAGCAACTTGCAGCATAGCAAAGGGGGCGACCTCCTTAATGGATCATCACATTGCTATGGGGCACATATATACCTCCGAAAAGAACCTTGGGCATACAAGGGTCTATGCGGGTCGCATAAGAGGATTAGGCAGGGTGGAAAGATCTCTTTTCTATAAAAGGAATTTCAACTGAACCCTAGGACTTGCATCTATGTCGACAGACAGATCGACTCTACTCTAATAGCTTACTTCTGCTCCGCTGCTATGCCAGTAGTGTAACAACACGGGTTTCACTACAAAAATTTGAACATAACCTCAATCTTGCATTCTTGACACGAAGGTGGCTGCGCCGGAAAATAACGGCGCCATCTTGTCGAACGTCATCCACCTTTGTGTCAAGGATCCAAGATTGAGGTTATGTTCGGATTTTTGTAGTGAAACCCGTGTTGTTACACTACTTATGCCTCAAGGACATATTGTGACACAGCAGATGGATAGTAGTTTGCTCAGCCTATCTGCCCTATGACTCAGCAGATGATCCCCCAACACCGAGGTTCATCGATTTGGTGGAGTACTGTAACTCACTGGGCCTTCCGTTGATTGTCGGATGCGGTGCCTACGCACACCACATGGTGTGGGGCAGTACCTACTCGAACCAGAGAGGGCTCAGTCTTCTTTCGCGGATTTAAAAATCATGAACCGTGGCAGCACACCGACCTTTATCACTTCGCGTAGACAAGAGGTGATAGACTTGACAGTGGGCTCACTATCCATGGCCCCGACGATAAGCATGTGGACAATGTCTGACGAACCGTCCCTATCGGATCACAGACACATCCTATTCAGCTTGGACCTTGATCACAAGACTGGGCCCAGTAAGTTCAGGAACCCCCGGAACATGAACTGGGACCAATACGTTGTGATCCTAAGGGATAAGCTAGAAGAGTTTTCCACACCATGCCGCAGCGCAAGGCAAGTGGAGGAAACAGCCGAATTCATACGCAACGCAATTACCAATGTGTATGAACGAAGCTGTCAGCTTCAGTAAGATTGAAAGATGAGAATTTTTATTACCTTTTAAACAAAAAATCTTCTGGAAAACGAAATGAAAAACAAATAGGACCTACGTTGTGGAAACTTACTCAATTTTACTTACTGGACATGCGCCCGACATAGCAAATATTTGGGAAATTTAAGGGAAACTAGCTGTGATATGTAAAAGAAACAAGAAATTTGTGAAACGTCTACTTTATTATAAAAGTAAATTGTACCGTTCTCATCCTGGAATTAACGAGGGGAAGAGCACGGCAAAGAAATCCTCGTTCTAACATTCCTCAAAAATCGAAACATTCTGTCATTTTTTATGATAATTGTGAGTCAATAATTCAATAATTTAAGCAAGTCAATAAGAGTTTAAATTAGGTACCGTCCTTGGTCTTTATGCTAAAATTTTAATTACACACACTACATTCAATCAACACTACCTATATTCAATACTGAAAAGTTTTTGGTTAGTTAGCCAGTTTTCCAGCAGGTACTGAGGTCCCATACGGGAAGCTACTCAGCTATAGTTGTTTTTGAACCAATATCTCTAGATTGATTATTTCAATTTGCTAGGATATGCTCTCGTCAGGGTAGGAAAATGTTAGTAAATTCAACAAGGCCCTAATGCACGTTCTAAATCCACAAAATCAAAATCTCAACACAAAAAGACAGCACATAATTTCTTAGGTTCTAATTTACTTCTTTATCCTTGTTGTTTACAGCATGAAACGATTTTTGTTAAATACATGAACAATGCACATGTTATAAAAAATGTTATAAACAAACAAAAAAAACATAAAAATGAAAAAAAGATACTTGTATAAATAATTGAACGCTCAAAAACAAAATAACAATTATTCAACTAACCTGTGATCTCTCCTTGACACACACACTAATAACAAATTGGATTGAACAATCAATATAATGCAAAATAAGAATAAAAATAGAATAATGAATAATTACAGACACGCGACACGCGTCCAAAGGGACCAGTCCCAGCTTGTTCTCTAGTCTAATGCCCAATCCCCTCTTCTCTATCTCCCGTTCGGTTTGGTATCCTTTCAGTACGCTTCACGTCGCATACAAGGTTGTAACATTTATTTTTATTCAGTAAACGTTTTTTTTTTTAGTTAAGATTAGAAGAAATAATATTTTAAATAGGTGGTTTTCCTCAACCCCCAATGGCATCAGAGGAAATCCCACATATAAGGATCTTTAAAATATTTTAGAATTCCAACTTCGTGCGATGCAAACGTCAAACGCTATACAAAATGTATCGAATTATAAATCACCAAAAAAATCGTTTTCAAGTAGTAGTTCCAATCGTTTTGTGCAAAGGACAAACCAAAATAGAAAACCCAATATGGCTTATTTGTCTACAGGCGGCAACGCATGCATGCTCTGTAACGAAAACCATAATTTAGAATCTTGCTCTAAATTTTTGTCAAAAAATCCACATACTCGTTTTAACTTTGTAAAAGGTCAAAATTTGTGTTCAGTTTGTTTCAATGGAACTCACGGGGTAAAAAAGTGTGATAGTAGGCAAAACTGTTCCGCGTGCGGTTCAAGACACCACACATTGCTTCACTTTGTGAAAAATGGCAATCCTGAGGCGACTTGTGGAAATTCTTCTTTGTCGGGACTGGAATCGATGGGCGATGATGCTACGTTGAACCAGGGTGATAGTGTAAATGCGTGTACTACACTTGTGCAGTCAAAAGGTCTCGTTTCACTTTTACCCACTGTAATAGTGGAAATGCTGGATTCCAGAGGAAATTTTGTGCAAGTTAGGGCCTTGCTGGATTCGGATGAAAGTTGCATTCGTCGTTTCGGACTTTCGCGCCAGAAATGCAACATAAATATTTGTAGGTATAGGGAATAGTTCGGATACCTACTATCTCGAAGGGCCGTGCTGAAAGCCTTATAAGGCCGATTCGTTTTTCTGAACCACAGATTTCTTTGAAAGTTTTTGTTTTGACTGATTTTTGTGCTCAGTTGCCACTTCATTCAGTGGAAGTAGAAAAATCACAACTTGGTGGCCTTGATCTGGCAGACAAGAATTTTAGCAAGCCAGGTGAAATTGATCTTCTTTTGGGCGTCGAAATATTTCCATTTATTTTGAAGTCTAGTGGAAATGTATTGAATTCCAATCAACCTATGTTTTTTGAAACTGTGTTTGGCTGGGTAGCCATTGGAAATTGAAAACAAACCTGCATCGCAAGAAATCAATTCGTACTATCCTTCTCTTTGTTGCTCGACTCTTGAGTCTTTAGATAGAAACTTGAAAAAATTGTGGGAGGTTGAGAGTGTACCCAATAAAATAGTGTTGTTATCTGAAGCAGATTTTTGTGAGAAATTCTTCGAGGAGACTCAGTATCGTAATTCCTGTTCGAAATATGTTTTGCCCTACCCTTCAAAATAAAAAATTCAGTTTTTGGGGAATCTAGAATTCTGTATTTTTGGAAAATAAGACATATAAAAACCCTGTTCTGTTCTGTTGGAATCTTACAAAGAATTTATGGAAAATTATTTGAATTCTGGTTATATGTCACCTGCTGAGAGTAGTGGAAAATACTATATTCCTCATCATTGTGTGATTAAAGAAGAATCCATATCAACAAAATTAAGGGTAGTGTTTGATGCTAGTATGCAGTCCTCCAATTGTATATCGCTCAACGACACTCTCTATGCTGGACCCAAACTTCATGCAGATATCGCAAGTGTTTTGTTGAATTTTAGGCTACAAAAATTTGTTTTAACAGCTGATATTACGCAAATGTTTTTGCAAAGTTTGATACGCGAAGAGGACAGAGAATTTCAGAGAATCCTATGAAGGT